ATTTTACTTCTTTAAAAAATTGCCATGTATACATATATCAACGTATATGTTTCAAGCTACTTGATTGCAGGCACTCTGACTGGTATTTTTCTGTATACCCTTTATTGCTAGAACAGCATCTTGCAAATATGAAGCTTGCCATGAGGAGCTATTGGTTGATTGGTTGGGAATGCTTTCATAGACATACTTGTCAAAGGCAATTGTTACGCATTTCTTTAATTAAAGTATTTTCCCCAGTGTTTTACCCCAAATAACATAAATCTAAGGATTGTGGCTGAGAGGTCTAAAAATGGCGAAACTTTTGAAGAGCAGAAACTCTGCAGATATAAAAATTAAAGGGATTTTACAATTATAATCCATTTAGGCAATGGATGGAGGATGGGAATCATAATGACCATTTGGCTTATGGGGCTTCCTTTTATTTACTCTTTTTGTTTTACTTTGTTCACTAGCTTCACTCTCTTTTTCTTAAGCTTCCTGCCCTTGTTGTACGCTCTCCTCACTCTTCTTTCCTTGGGTTTTCTGTCTTTTTGGTACACCCGCCTTTTGGGGGGATGCGTGTCTTTCTGGTACACCCACCTCACTCTTCTTTTCTTGGGCTTCCTGTCCTTGTTGTACGCTTGCTTCATTCTCCTTTTCTTGGGCTTCCTGTCCTTGTTGTACAGTCGCCTCTCTCTCTTTTTCTTGGGCTTCCTGTCCTTGTTCACTCATCTCACTCTTCTTTCCTTGGGTTTTCTGTTTTTTTGGTGCACTTGCTTTTTTGGGGGATGGGTGTCTTTCTGGTACACCCACCTCACTCTTCTTTTCTTGGGCTTCCTGTCCTTGTTGTACACTCGCATCACTCTCTTGTTCTTGGGCTTCCTGTCCTTGTTGTTCACTCATCTCACCCTTCTTTCCTTGGGTTTTCTGTTTTTTTGGTGCACTCGCTTTTTTGGGGGATGGGTGTCTTTCTGGTACACCCACCTCACTCTTCTTTTCTTGGGCTTCCTGTCCTTGTTGTACACTTGCTTCACTCTCTTGTTCTTGGGCTTCCTGTCCTTGTTGTTCACTCATCTCACCCTTCTTTCCTTGGTTTTTCTGTTTTTTTGGTGCACTTGCTTTTTTGGGGGATGGATGTCTTTCTGGTACACCCACCTCACTCTTCTTTTCTTGGGCTTCCTGTCCTTGTTGTTCACTCATCTCACCCTTCTTTCCTTGGGTTTTCTGTTTTTTTAGTGCACTCGCTTTTTTGGGGGATGGGTGTCTTTCTGGTACACCCACCTCACTCTCCTTTTCTTGGGCTTCCTGTCCTTTTTGTACACTCGCCTCACTCTCCTTCTCTTGGGCTTCCTGTCCTTTTGATACACCTGCCTCACCCTTCTTTTCTTGGGCTTTCTGTCTTTTTGGTGCACTCGCTTTTTTGGGGGATGGGTGTCTTTCTGGTACATAGACCTCATTCTTCTTTTCTTGGGCTTCCTGTCCTTGTGGTATGCTTGCCTCACTCTCCTTTTCTTGGGCTTCCTGTCCTTTTGATACACCTGTCTCACTCTTTTTTTCTTGGGCTTTCTGTCTTTTTGGTACACCCACCTCACTCTTCTTTACTTGAGATTCCTGTCCTTTAGGTAAACCCGCCTCACTCTTCTTTACCGGGGCTTCCTGTCGTTTTTGTATTCCAGTGTCTCTCTCCACCTTGATCTCCATTCCTATCTTGTCTTTCTCTAAATCAGTGCTTTTTGCTTTTTTTTCTGGCTCCTTTTTGTGTGTTGATGTCAAGGATTTATCAGAATCTCTAAATATGACTTTATTCTTTGGTGCTTCCTTGTTTTCTTCTTGGCTATTCTGAGACCTTGTAGGGCCTCCACTTTTTAGAATCTGGGCTTTGGACTCTGATTTTTTTGCAAGTTGTTCATCCATGTAACCTGGAAATACAACTGAGCATACAAGAAAAGTGCATGGTTCAGATATCAAGTATTTTCTCT